TGCGGTTAAAAGGGCATCCGCTGTGTAAAAACTTGCTGGATAAGTTGGCGGTTCATTCCGCTGTGGTGACCCCGGATTAATAAAGGGACTAAACTGACAAGAAAATGAATGAATGAATAAACTCTCCAGGACATGGGCCCTCCAGGACTGAGTTTGGACACCCCTGTTCTAAGTGAACCGGTTGAACCAGTTCACCAAATCGAACTGAATCATTTAAAATCTCCAGTGAGCACTTTTCCACAAATTACTTACTTTTTAACATGCCAGACTTCCCTCTGACTCAAAATAAACCAATGTCCTGAGTTATTGAGTTACTAGAACAGTACACTGAGGTCAGATTGGAGAAGCAGTGAACTAATAGAACTCAAAGAACTAAACACAAGCAGTAAATGACAGCACAGTACAGTCTGAACCAAACTGATTACTGCTGAAACTGAGGCCTTGAATAAGAGGATCTGGCGAAACGTAAGTTTACTTCATAACAGAAAGTCCTAATGGAATTTAAATAGTAAGTGAATTGTGCTTTATTTGGGTTGCAAAACTTAATTGTAAGAATATTTTCAGATTTTGGTGATGCTTTAACTGACTGAAACTTAGATTGCTGACTGATCATTTTGATATGGTGCGTCCTGACATTGTCACTGTGTCATTGTGGATGACGTCATTAGGTTGTTGCATAAAAGAACTGGTAAAATGAACTGTCCAAAACATCAGATTCACAAAAAAGATCTGAACCTCCCATCATTATTTTACTGTACAGTCCATCAGGTATGTGCAACTTCAGTCCTGGAGCTCCATTGTCCTGCAGAGTTTTGCTCCCACACTAATCAAACACACCTGCCTGTAGCTTTCTGGCATTGATTAGCTTTTTCAGGTGTGTTTGGTTAGTGTTGGAGCAAAACTCTGTAGGACAATGGAGCTCCAGGGCTGAAGTTGCCCGTCCTTGCTTCACATGATTCAAACATTCTGCTGCTATTAAAGGATTGTTTCATTCATTCATTTTCCTTTGGCTTAGTCCTTTTATTAATCTGGGGTCGCCACAGCCGAATAAACAACTACTTATCCAGCATATGTTTTACGCAGGGGAAGCCCTACAGCTGCAACACAGTACTGGGAAACCCCTGTACACACTCATTCACGCATATACACTAATTTAGTTCATCAATTCCCCTATAACGCATGTGTTTGGACTGTGGGGGAAACGGGAGCACCCGGAGGAAACCCACGCCAACATGGGGAGAACATGCAAACTCCACACAGAAATGCCAACTGGCAATCCTTAGAATTTACTCACACCATTGTTAGCCATGATGTTCATACCTTTGTTCCATCAGACCAAAATTCTTTTGTTTATTTTTGAGTAAAACATGCAGGATTTTGTCAATATAGTGGACTTTAAAGGACGTCTTGAACATATACAAAACTGCATTTTCAGGCTAGTGCTTTAGGCTAGTTTTGAACAACAGATGACGCTCTAGGCTAGTTTTTTTTTACAGCAGACGGTGCTCTATGCTAGATTGTAACAGCAGACGGTGCTCTATGCTAGATTGTAACAGCAGATGGCGCTCTAGGATAATTTTCAACAGCAGACAGCGTTCTATGCTAGTTTTTAACAGCAGATGGCACCCTAGACTAGTGCTTTAGGCTAGTTTTGAACAACAGATGACGCTCTAGGCTAGATTTTTACAGCAGATGGTGCTCTATGATAGATTGTAACAGCAGATGGCGCTCTAGGATAATTTTCAACAGCAGACAGCGTTCTATGCTAGTTTTTAACAGCAGATGGCACCCTAGACTAGTGCTTTAGGCTAGTTTTGAACAACAGATGACGCTCTAGGCTAGATTTTTACAGCAGATGGTGCTCTATGATAGATTGTAACAGCAGATGGCGCTCTAGGATAATTTTCAACAGCAGATGGTGCTCTATGCTAGATTTTAACAGCAGATGGCACTCTAGGCTAGTGCTTTAGGCTAGTTTTGAACAACAGATGACGCTCTAGGCTAGTTTTTTTTACAGCAGATGGTGCTCTATGATAGATTGTAACAGCAGATGGCGCTCTAGGATAATTTTCAACAGCAGACAGCGTTCTATGCTAGTTTTTAACAGCAGATGGCACCCTAGACTAGTGCTTTAGGCTAGTTTTGAACAACAGATGACGCTCTAGGCTAGTTTTTTACAGCAGACGGTGCTCTATGCTAGATTTGAACAGCAGATGGTGCTCTATTCTAGATTGTAACAGCAAACAGTGCTTTAGGCTAGTTTTTAACAGCAGATGGTGCTCTAGGCTACTGTTTGACAGCAGACTTTGCTCTAGGCTGGTGTTTAACCGCAGACGGTGCTCTAGGCTATATTTTAAAAGCAGACAGTGCTCTATGCTAGATTGTAACAGCAGACGGTGCTCTATGCTAGATTGTAACAGCAGACGGTGCTCTATGCTAGATTGTAACAGCAGATGGCGCTCTAGGATAATTTTCAACAGCAGACAGCATTCTATGCTAGTTTTTAACAGCTGATGGCACCCTAGACTAGTGCTTTAGGCTAGTTTTGAACAACAGATGACTCTCTAGGCTAGTTTTTTTTACAGCAGATGGTGCTCTATGATAGATTGTAACAGCAGATGGCGCTCTAGGCTATTTTTTAACAGCAGACGGTGCTCTATGCTAGATTTGAACAGCAGATGGCGCTCTAGGCTAGTTTTTAACAGCAAACTTTGATCTAGGCTAGTGTTTAACCACAAACGGCACTCTAGGCTATATTTTAAAAGCAGACGGTGCTCTAAGCTAGTTTTTGCGCTACAGCTGTATGGCTAATTCTTTAAAGTGGTAGTTTACCAAATCTATGATTTTCTAATGGGTTTGGGATGTAATTGACAGAAATTCAGCTTTTGGGCTAAACATATACATGCCAATCATGGCAATAAAACCTGTCTCTATTTTGTTTGTCTTTCAGGTTAACAGGTTACGGCATACACCACTGCTTTGCACGCAGTATGATGGAAAAGAAGACTGTTGGCTTTGTGGAAAAGCTCCATGATTTTTATGCGGAGTACTACGTGATGGCGGTCATCGCGGTGGCGTCGTGTGTGTTTCTGTGTCCCGCTGTGGCGCTGATGGGACGGCGTGGAGGACTGCTAATGTTCATGATCATCACTGCGCTAGCATCTCTGCTTCAGCTTGGACTACTAAACTGTGAGAGAACACACACATTACAAACACACACACACTCACTCATGTCCAAGTGTTTATCTTATTAAACAACCATTAAATAGTGGTTGTGTATTCATGTATTCATGTTTTGAACAGCAGGTGGCGCTGTAGGCCAGTTTTTAAAAGCAGATTGTGCTAAAGGCTAGTTTTTCACTGTAGATTACGCTAAAGGCTAGTTTTTAGACAGCAGACAGCACTCTAGGCTCGTTTTCAAAAGCAGATTGCGCTAAAGGCTAGTTTTTGACAGCAGCTTGCGCTAAAGGCTAGTTTTTGACAGCAGCTTGCGCTAAAGGCTAGTTTTTGACAGCAGATTGCGCTAAAGGCTAGTTTTTGACAGCAGATTGCGCTAAAGGCTAGTTTTTCACTGTAGATTACGCTAAAGGCTAGTTTTTAGACAGCAGACAGCACTCTAGGCTCGTTTTCAAAAGCAGATTGCGCTAAAGGCTAGTTTTTGACAGCAGCTTGCGCTAAAGGCTAGTTTTTGACAGCAGCTTGCGCTAAAGGCTAGTTTTTGACAGCAGATTGCGCTAAAGGATAGTTTTTGACAGCAGATTGCGCTAAAGGCTAGTTTTTGACAGTAGATTGCGCTAAAGGCTAGTTTCTGACAGCAGATTGCGCTAAAGGCTAGTTTTTGACAGCAGATTGCGTTAAAGGCTAGTTTTTGACAGTAGATTTTGCTAAAGGCTAGTTTTTGACAGAAGATTGCACTAAAGGCTAGTTTTTGACAGCAGATTGCGCTAAAGGCTAGTTTTTGACAGCAGCTTGCGCTAAAGGCTAGTTTTTGACAGTAGATTTTGCTAAAGGCTAGTTTTTGACAGAAGATTGCACTAAAGGCTAGTTTTTGACAGCAGATTGCGCTAAAGGCTAGTTTTTGACAGCAGATTGCACTAAAGGCTAGTTTTTTAAAGGCTAGTTTTTGACAGCAGACTGCGCTAAAGGCTAGTTTTTGACAGCAGATTGCGCTAAAGGTTATTTTTGACAGCAGATTGCGCTAAAGGCTAGTTTTTTACAGCAGATTGCGCTAAAGGCTAGTTTTTTAAAGGCTAGTTTTTGACAGCAGATTGCGCTAAAGGCTAGTTTTTACAAAGCAGACACTAAGCTATTAAAAACATAAAATAGCTTGTGCCAAAGTTACTTCTGTTCCCTCAGCCCCTAATGATTTGAAATTGACCATCCAGGCACCTCTATATTACTTTGTGACCTGCAAATGCTTGGCATTTCACCTCTGAATCCAGCTAGATTGGAAAATGAAATAAAGCTGACATTCAGCTAGTAGAAATAACCTCAGATAAACACTTGTGAAAGCGTGTAGCATGAAATATAACCATTAGAGCTGCAGTTAACAATTATAAATGTAACTTTTTTCTCTTAACCAGCATTGAGTATTTGCAGCAACTTCCAAAACTAAAGTTGCTGATATTATTATCAAGCTAGTAAGTGTGTGTTTGGGTGTTGATTCTCAACATTGTTTCTCTAAAATCTCCTTAACACACGCATCTTAAGCAGCTTTTTTTGCTCTCGCTGGTTTTCTGCTGTGCACGTGAATGTTGTGAAAGTATCTCAAGCCTGAAAGCTGATTATTGATTGGCACTACAACCGCACTTCATCACAGCAGTGATGAAGTTACTGCTTGACAGTATGTGATGTTGCAAACAGAACGGCATTGTGTCTCTAGTTTTTCCACTGCAAAATGTCATTTGGAGTCTGTGCGGTAATTATCATTTACTGGTGATATTAAAAGCCCTTTCACATTCGCACAGAGCCAATCAGAAACAGTGCAAGAATAGTGCAAAAGAATAGTTTCTCACCAGACTGCTGTTGTGTTTGCGATAAGGAGGGACAAGGCTGAATCCAGCTTCTTATTCGCAGCTTCTTATTGTCTCTATCCGGTACACCTTAAAAACCACGAGGCTTCCGTTTTTTGTAAGCAAAATGTCATTTGGAGTCTTTGAAGTAATAATCATTCACTGGTGATATTAAAAGCCCTTCCAAATTTGCACAGAGCCAATCAGAAACAGTGCAAGAATAGTGCAAAAGAATAGTTTCTCACCAGACTGCTGTTGTGTTTGCGATAAGGAGGGACAAGGCTGAATCCAGCTTCTTATTCGCAGCTTCTTATTCGCAGCTTCCAGCTTCCGGTCCACCTTAAAAACCCAGAGGCTTGCGTTTTTGTAAGCAAAATGTAATTTGGAGTCTGTGCAGTAATAATCATTCACTGGAGCCGTGATAGCGAAGACCCTCCCAAACTCGCACAGAGCCAATCAGAAACACACGATCCCTTTTTATTGACTTTAAGTGCGCTCGTTTTTGCAATTGTTTTAAAACATTTGATTCAGCCGCCTGTAGGAGAAATAGCTAGGAAAATAAAGTCAAACTACTTGTTGTACAAACAAGGGTGTTCATGAATATACATAAAAAGTAGAGTAAAATAATAAGAAAATGGCAGTAAACGTAACAAGCTGTTTTTAACAATCTTATGCTGTGTTCACACCAGATGCGACATGCACGAATAATTCACGATATTTGCGAGTAAATACACGTGAACATTTCTATGGCGTTACTTCACTGACAAAGACCCTAAGCGCAAATTCAAGAGCGCATTCATGTTTGTAAGCATCTCCTTGTAGCTCCCTGTACTTTAAACATTTGGATTCTGCCTGCTAATCGTCTAGTTTAACACATGTTGTTTGTTTGTTTGTTTTTCTCCTCTATGTGCTGAATGAAGTGTTGGGGAAGTACGGAGATCATCTGAGTCTTGGTAAAGTAGAGACACAACACACGATAAGCAGATGTGTGCAGATTGTTATTTGTATTGCTCCATTTTCACATAAACTTCTTTTTAAGGTGGCATATCACATATACTGTACCTGGAAAATACTAACACAGAGAAATTCATAGGTTAATACATCCCAAAACTGATATAGACATATTCACACATGCAAAAAAAGGCATATAGAGTCATATATATATATATATATATATATATATATAATTCGCCTCCTTTGGAATTTTTTTTCTTTTTTAAATATTTTCCAGATAATGTTTAACAGATCAAGGAAATTTTCACAGTATGTCTGATCATATTTTTTCTTCTAGAGAAAGTCTTATTTGTTTTATTTTGGCTAGAATAAAATCATCTTAAGATCAATATTATTAGCCCCTTTAAGCTATATTTGTTTTCGATAGTCTACAGAACAAATCATCGTTATACAATAACTTGCCTATTTAACCCAACCCTCCTAGTTACCCTAATTACCCTAGTTAAGCCTTTAAAAGTCACTTTAAGCTGTATAGAAGTGTCTTGAAGAATATCTAGTCTAATATTATTTACTGTCATCATGACAAAGATGAAATAAATCAGTTATTAGAGATGTGTTATTAAAACTATTATGTTTAGAAATGTGTTGAAACAATCTGCTCTCCATTAAACAGAAATTGGGGAAATAATAAACGGGGCTAATAATTCTGACTTCAACTGTGCATATATATATATATATATATATATATATATATATATATATATATATATATATATATATATATATATATATATATATATATAAAATCATTCATTTATTTTCCATCAGCTTAGTCTCTTTATTCATCAGGGGTTGCCACAGCAGACCAACTATTCCAGCATATGTTTTACGCAGCGGATGCCCTTCCAGCCGCAACCCAGTACAGGGAAACACACATATACAGTACACACACATCCACTACGGCCTAGTTTCTTCAATTCCCCTATAGCGCATGTGTTTGGACTGTTGGGGAAACCTTATTGTTGGGGGTCTTATTCTGTAAACAATGTATGTTCTTAACTGTTTGTTCTTAATTGTTTTGTTTTATTTATTTTTACTGTCTGTTTAGACAATGTTGTAGCACCTTTTATGCCCAAGACAAATTTCCTCTTGGGGACAAATAAAGTTTAACCCAATGACTGTAAAAAATATGGACGACGCGACAGCCCTTTTTCCCATTGAACGCCTTGAGGGCAAAACGCCTGCTTGACGGGCACAAACTGTCGCAAAAGACTGCTGAAATTGGAGCCAGACATGCGCAGAAGGATTGTCTGATGGAGCCAGAGGAGGAGCCGCGAAAATGAGCAGAGTCGAGCTTCCAATCAAACGCTTTATGTAAAATCAACTACGCCCCCCGAACTTCTCAGCATGCGTTTGCTGTCATATCAACACAAATGGATGTAATAACGTTAACAAATATGAGGGTTTTATATATTCAATCGCGCCAGCTTCGGGCCGCAGCGCATAACTTACTCGCGGCGTCGCGGGCTGATTCCGGCTCGCATGCGGCAGCGATGGCTCGCTCGGCCGCCGCATCTGGTGCGCATCTGGTGACTCAGGCTGGAATTGGGTAGTGAGTCCAGGCATCCGGAGTAGGTCCAGCAGAGGTAACATTAGTCAGTCTGAGCTCTAAGAGATAAGTCTCCGGCAGGCGAGAATCTAGCCGGAACTGTGTTTTGCTATCTGGGTGGCTAGGCGTGTATCAGCAAACTAATAAAGCCCGAAAAAAGCCCTGACCTTAGCGAATAAACAGTGTTCCACCAGGATCATGTATGACAGAAACTGTAGTTTACTGCTGAACTCATTTTGTCATGGTAAAATAACACAGAAATCGAATAATAACACTTCAGTCTCCTGCCGAAGCTCAGACGCCGCGCTTTGAGAAACTGTCAATCACAGCTGTCAATCACGATGACACGCCCAGCATTAAATTACTGCTAAAAACAAACTGTTTACAAAAATGAAGATCTGCACCTATTTCAGCACAATAACCAGTGCCTTAATCGACCAGAACTATCTTTCGGGACATTTTATTGCAAGTGTAATTTTTTTTTTTATTTGGGCTCAAGTCTCCTTCATTAACACGGAGGAGGCGGGCTTTATGACTTGTACTGCAGCCAGCCCCCAGGGGGCGATCTAACGGCCGAAACCTTCACTCAAACGTAGGCTTGCGGCGCACTTGGTTTAACCTAACCTAACATAACCTAAACCGGAGCCAACACAGGGAGAACATGCAAACTCCACACAGAAATCCCAACTGACCTAACCGGGACTCAAACCAGCGACCTTCTTACTGTGAGGCACTGAGCCACCACTGGTTTTCAGTAAGTGGTCTTCCTAAATGAGTTGCATGTCCCACCAGCGAAGATGCCCTCACTGTTTCATTTTAAAAGGATTACTGAGTTAGAAATTCTTGCGGTTTTAATAAAAGCAGGATCCCCACAGGATGATTCAGCTGTGTTCAGTTCCTCAGCGGTTTTTTCGGAGACTCTAGAGACTATTCTCTCATTTTCACACAGACAGCAATCTGCAGGATCCAGCCTTTTATATACAGTTGAAGACTGAATTATTCACCCCCCTGTATATTTCTGTCCAATATCTGTTTAACAGAGCAGATTTCTTCAACACATTTCTAATCATAATAGTTTTAATAACTCATCTCTAATAACTGATTTATTTTATCTTTGTCATGATGACAGCACATAATATTAGACTAGATATTCTTCAAGACACTAGTGTTCAGCTTAAAGTGACATTTAAAGGCTTCACTAGGGTAATTAGGGTAAAGTTAGGGTAATTAGTAGGGATGGCTGACGTGAAACTGACGTTTCGACACAGTGTCGAGATCCCGAAGCGCAAGTGTTTCGAAACACTGCACCGAAGCATGAGCCGAAACACCCAGGTCACGTGACTTAAGTGTTTCGAAACACTTGGTCACGTGACTAAAGCGATTCAAAGCATTGATCATCTCAGAGGCGTTTCAAGACCCGGAGAATCTCCATTTGACTGCCATGATCAATGGCGTAACTGTGTCTTGTATGGTTTAGTGGACCGTGCGTGTGCACAACAGATCTGTGATACAATTTTGTTTTGGGTTCGAATCCCGACTAGTCCAAATACTCCAAAATCATGATTTTATATATTTTAATCATGTTACTGTTTTATGGTGTAGTCTAGATAGGATACAGCTGTGGATATGCCATCAATTTAGCATCATTTTTGTAACACTGTAAAACAATAATTCATATTTTTACAGTACTGTGATGGGTTTAGGTTTTGGATAGACGTTAATAAAATACAATGGGAAATTTAATTAATAATATAAATAATTATTGTTAACTTCTGGCCACAACTGTATCTGATCTAGCAACAAACCTGTTTTATGAACAAAACAATACAAATTTATTTACAAGGTGTTCATTCGTATGTCAGAGCAATGTTGAAACAAAACGACACAATAACAAAGCATTACCAACTGGTATTAAAGCATTTCAAAATTATTGTTTCAGTATGGATTCGATCCCATTACTTCCGCTTGGTGGTCACAGACTCTAACCGCTCGTCTAAACCACTTGTAGATTCAGGGCTACAAAGTGGGCTTTCATACCCTAATTTGCTCAACTGTTCTTTGCTGAAGCTGTTTCAGTGAAATACAATTAAAATGACCACTAGGTGTCGCCGTAGAGTGGTGTTTCGAAACGTTTCGAAGCTTCGACACATTTGCTTCGATAGTTTCAGTGTTTCACGAAGCCTCGCTTTGCCCACCACTATCTAAAAGTAATATTGCATAAGGGGGCTAATAATATTGACCGTAAAATGTGTTTAAAAAAATTAAGAACTGCTTTTCTTCTAGCTGAAATAAAACAAACAAGACTTTATTCAGAAGAAAAAATATTATAGGAAATACTGTGAAGAAATCCTGAATCTGTGCAACATCATTTGGGAAATATTTGATCAGAGGAGGGTGATTAATTCTGGCTTCAACTGTATTTGTTCTGTATTATTTTCATAAACATTAATGCGTTGGACGGTGGAAAATCCAACAATTTTAAATGCATGATTTATTTATATGCATGCATACTGTGACATCTGAGAGCATTGCATGATGAAGTAGCTCCATCTAGTGTGCAAAGTGACATTTAAAGGCTTATCTAGGTTAATTAGGGTAAAGTTAGGGTAATTAGGCAAGTCATTGTATAACAGTGGTTTGTTCTGGACACAATCCAAAACTAATATTGCATAAGGTGGCTAATAATATTGACCTTAAAATGTGTTTTAAAAAAATTAAGAACTGCTTTTCTTCTAGCCGAAATAAAACAAATAAGACTTTATTCAGAAGAAAAAATATTATAGCAAATACTGTGAAGAAATCCTGAATCTGTGCAACATCATTTGGGAAATATTTGATCAGAGGAGGGTGATTAATTCTAACATTAACTTTATTTGTTGTGTATTATTTTCACAAACATCAATGTGTTGGACGGTGGAAAATCCAACAATTTCAAATGCATGATTTATTTATATGCATGCATACTGTGACATCTGAGAGCATTGCATGGTAAAGTAGCTCCATCTAGTGTGCGTGTGCGGAAAACCCTTATTATGAGCTCAGCCAGGGTTTAAATGAAAGCATCTAAATAAGAATCGGAGTTAATCGGTGCATGAAAAAGCATTGATACAGCTAGTTTGCTCATGACTGTTTACTATATTAAAGAGTGAAGCACAGCACTGTGTTTATTTTCACACGAGCAGCTCCTCATCGGTTAATTTTCAGTGTCCTGGGGCAAATTGTTTCACCTCTCCTCAGCTTTGTTGGATATATGTGTAATATAGTGTCATTTAATGTCTTTTTATTCATTTATTATTTCATATTTGATGGCTCAGTGGCCTCACAGCAAGTAACATGTTCTTCCTGCGTTCGCGTTGGGGTTCCTCCGGGTGCTCCGGTTTCCCCCACAGTCCAAACACATGCGCTATAGGGGAACTGATGAGCTAAATTGGCCGTAGTGTGTGTGTGTGTGTGTGTGTGTGTGAATGAGTGTGTATGGGTGTTTCCCAGAACTGGGTTGCAACTTGAAAGGCATCCACTATGTAAAACATATGCTGGAATAGTTAATGGTTCATTCCACTGTGTTGACCTCTGATAACTCAGAGACTAAGCCGAAGGAAAATAATTTCTTACATTATTTCTCCCCGCTCCTCTCCTCCTGATGCATGTAAAAAAGCAGCTTCACTTCTCCTGCATTGCAGAGATCCGTGAAGGCAGTCCGTCTTGCTAATTTTGGCTGGGTCAGCAGGAGGCTTGGCAAATATATTGTCCGGAGATTAAATGTTTTTTTTTTTTTGTTCTGCTTCCTGAGCCGTCATCTAGTTTTGGTTCCAGGTCACTGGAGCAGATCTCCTGTTCAGACACGGTTTGTTATGAGGATCTAGAGTTCATATCGGCAGGCTGTGGAATAAGTCTGGAGAGAGTTTGTCAAGTTTAGCCGGACGTCACGCTGTCCTCTGTCTCGTATTGTTCAGCATCAGTGCACCGGTGTGTCTGTGGAGCTCCTTTAAAGAAATGCTGCACTTTTCTTTCTCTTTATTTTTTTGGGATATTGGCTTATTTTGAGTTTTACCATCTTTGAATCCATCCTTCAAGACACTAGTGTTCAGCATAAAGTGACATTTAAAGGCTTCACTAGGGTAATTAGGGTAAAGTTAGGGTAATTAGGCAAGTCATTGTATAACAGTGGTTTGTTCTGGACACAATCCAAAACTAATATATCTTAAGGGGGCTAATAATATTGACCTTAACATGAATTAAAACAATTAAGAACTGATTTTATTGTAGCTAAAATAAAACAATTAATAATATTCTGTGAAGCTCCTTTAAAGAAATGCTGCACTTTTCTGTCCTTTTTTGGGGGGGACATAGGCTTATTTTACCATTTTTTAATCCATTCAGCAAATCTCTTGGACCAGAACTTTTAGCTTAGCTTAGCATAGATCATTGAATCAGATTAGACCATTAGCATGTCAATCAAAAATGACCAAAGAGTTAACGCAAAACCATAATACTTGTAATATAGGTTTTATGCAAATTAATCTAATTCAGCCTTTAAGCTGAATACTAGTGTCTTGATGAACACCTAGTCAAATATTATGTGCTAAGACCAAATAAATCAGTTACTAGAAATGAGTTATTAAAACTATTATGTTTAGAAATGTTTTGGAAAAATCTAAAAATATATTTAAAAAAATACAGGGGGGCTAATACTTCTGACTTCAACTATTTATGTATATATGTATGTACAGCGGGGAAAATAAATATTGAACACATTGTCATGTTTTTTCCTGGGAATAATATTTCTAAGGGAGCTGTTGACATGGGATTGAAGCAGATTTAGGTAAAAACCCAAACAATACAAACATGAACATATAATAAAACAAAACAAATCTGGAAAATGAGTTACAGTATGTGTGATAACACTGAAATCACAGGAGGAGAAAGTCCTGAACTACTCAAATGTATTTAACACTGTACTTTAAAGACGCCTCTCGTGTGAAAAAATGAAGTCACATGCACTTCTCAGGTGCGAGTTTCTCACAGACTTCAACAGAGTGTCAAAATCTTGATGTTTCTGTGCGTCTCGTCTATCAAATCTGACCTTTATTTGGTATTCTCTATTGGATTCGGCTCGGGTGATTGGCTGGGCCATTCCACAGCTTGATTTTCTTTCTCTGAAAGCATCTGAGTGTCCTCGGCTGTGTTTTGGATCATAGTCTTGCTGAAATGTCCACCCTGGGTTCATTCTCATCCTCCTGCTAATGTAGATATTGGGCTGAAGCAGCTTATTTACATTGAGGAAGGGCAGAGGAGTGCTGAAGAACTACTGAGAGATTTCAGCTGCTGTCTGGGCTTTCACTGCCCAACTACACCTCCCTTTCTTCATGTGTTCAATACTTTTCCCTGCATCATGTCATTTTATCACACATAACTTCCTTTATAAACTAATTAATATAGTTTTCTTTGCATATATATGGATTTCTTTGGTTGTTATCAACATCGGGTGAAAAATTCAAGTCAACAGCAGCTTTAGAAAGATGTTTTCTGAAAAAAATGGTGACGTGTTCAATACTTATTTCCCCTGCTGTATGGTCAAATCTGGCCATGAAATATACAATTAAAGCTAATATATTTCAACAAATACATATACATATTTTTAATTTTCATTGGTTGAAAAATATATATATGTAAGAAACTATTTTTGTAATATATGTTGCATATATGACTTAGTTGTGAAATCCATATGTGATTTGCATATATATTCATATACAGTACTGTATTTGTGGGGAGAGCCTGAATTGTGAATTAAGCAACTTAATCAAAGACAAAATATAATCCAGGTTGATTTAAATAGTTTTTATTTCAGTAATTATACCTCACACTTTTTCTTGACTTGTACAGTTTTTTCTGTAGCTCTTTGCGTTTGTGGTTTATTTCTGAGGTCAGATAATAATCACTGACTCGCCATGTTGTGTTTTTCTCTCTCTCTCTCACCGCAGTACACTCTGATGAGCTGAACGACAAATTTTCCGTGGCTTTCTCCATCATTGGCATGTTCTCCTCCCACGCCGTCAGCAACCTAAGCATCTTCTTTTGTGCTGAAATCACTCCTTCGGTTATTAGGTGAGCACACCGCGTAAGCTACTGTGATTGCAGGAATGAAATAAGACGAGTCTTTCTTTAGATCTTCTTAGTGTGCAGTAAGGGAGACAGATACAGTGATGGACAAAATGGTTAGAAGACTTGTGATTTTTTATTTGTTACAATAGCCATAAAATGAATGGATCATCTACAAAGCCATCATTAAACTCTATTGGCTCTTTTCCACTGATTGGTACAGAACAGTTCGGTTTGCATCGATACGGGACACCTTTATCAGGATTGCGTTTTCATGTGTAGCCTCTGTTAGAGAGTCATTCCATCATTCTGAGTTCATAATAGTCCAAAAAGTCATAATAATAGTTAAACAAGGCGGTTAGTTCATGTTTTCTGAAAAAATAATGTGCTCCTTTTGTCCCGCTTCTCCTTTTTCGCTCACCGGGTTACATAGGCTGAAGCAGGGAAGCGTCCCCATGGTGTGTACCTGCTGCCATGAACTGAATCCTAGGAGAACACTTAAGCGTTTCACCCTTAAAGAGAATGCTGTTTGATGCCTAATCTGCTTTTAATAGTTTAAATGAAACTGAACTGAATGATAATAAACTGATGTCTTCACCATTTCTGCGCTTTGAAATCGCAGAAGCAGCTGGAGGTTTGTAGTACACAGCATGTTGCTGCAGTGCTGATCCTATATTTCCGGGTTTCTTCCCACAGCAGCCTCGCTTTCGTGTTTTAAAATGGCAGCCACGTGAAATAAGCGTATAGTTCACACTGTATGATTGCTACTCACATTAACGAGCACCGATTTTGCCTGTGATTTCAGGCATTTATCTGCGATTTATCAAAACCTGAGTCAAATTCGAGGCTAAAATCATGTATTCGGCATTAGTAAACCTTAAAGGGCCATGAAACCTACTCATTTCAGCAGGGTGTTTTCACACCTCTACTTTGGAAAAAGTCAGAAAAGTGGGCGTGTCCAGCTCTGTTTAGGGGGAGTGTCGGAGAAAGAAAAAAGGCTTGGTGTGTGTGGGAGTGTCTATTTGGGCACGCTGACTTTCATAGTCAAAACACACACACACACAGGGGAGAAAGGGACTGTGTTTACATGGACATCTGTAGTCGAATTATTTGCCAAATTATTAAATGGTGGACTTTAACTGCAGTTTGGCTCTTTCATTCAGGGAATTCATTCATGCCCCTCTCGACAAACGAGATATTTGATTCGAGGAGCTGCTCTAAGCGTGTATTTTCATGCAATGTTTGATACCGCACGGCGAATGAGAGAAAAAAACCTCCGCATTTCCCGGAAACTTAGATGCACACGACAGGTAGTGTCAGAAAGCTGCGCGTGTTATTCCGGTCACTAAATGCGGTAAAAACCCTACACAAGGTTAAAGTTTGGTTGTGGTGCTAACATGTTTACACTCGGTGCAATAGTTTGTTCGATACGAAAAAACTGAATAAACAAAGAGCACTGGTCGCTCACTTACCAAATCTGTAGAGACAGGACAATCACCAGCAACTAGAGCCGCGTCTTTATAAAGAGAATACTACAAGCGAATCCGGATCTCAGCGTTTGCAGATGAGAACAGCTCTCAGGTAAACAATAATCCTCTTTAGACACGTAAGTTATTGTTGTCGAGCGTCGCGTACACTGTTAATCCACACGTGACTCCAGATGAGCTCTCACAGAGAGAAAAAGAAAACAAAACTTCACTGCAGCAAACTATAAAAGCAACACTTCACGCTTGTTTTGCCAACACAACGTGGCGTCTCTGTCGTATAAACACTGTGACAGTAATGAATATTAATGAAGTTGCACAATAGAGCGCGCTGATTGGTTTAAACCAAGCTTTACTCATGCATTAATGCAGCACACTGTAAGACGTAATAAGACACACTCTGGCACAGACGTCCAGTCTGCACGCTGGAATACACGCTATTATCTCATGACCGAGACGCAGCTTCAAAAATTAGTTTCAAACCGGAAGTACGAATTTGCTTGAAATAACGCAAAAACAACCACTTTACACTTTTTAGTGAAATATAGGTGTCCTAATAGTGTTTATAGCAGTGTGGGACACATATACCACTGTCAACAGCTCAAACACATGTGTTTTGGTGTTTCGTGACCCTTTAATGCAAAAACACTTTCACTTTCACTACAAGGAATAATTCTTTACGACTAGGAGCTTAAATTCAAAGTCAACCACCTGGATTTACTTTATCCCTAACATAATTCAATGACCTGTCATCCTTTGCCTTGTCAGTGATGCCTTGTTCTTGTGTTTGCTGTGTAGGGGTGGTGGACTGGGCCTGGTGTTGGCCAGTGCTGGTTTTGGCATGCTGACATCCCCAATCATGGAGCTCCATAACCAGAAAGGCTATTTCCTGCATCACATCATTTTCGCCTGCTGCACTCTGATCTGCATCATCTGCATCCTGCTCTTGCCGGAAACCAGAAATCAACCGCTACCGGAAACACTGTCAGATGGAGAAAGCTACACTCGGCAACCGTTACTCCCACCTCGAAAGCCAGGAGAGCAGCGTCTTCTGCTGACCAAATCTGAGAGTCGGGAATACGCAAGAGTTGGAGATACTCCTCTCCACGAAGCGGCGGCCACTGTGGTTTCCACTATGGACTCCACTGCTTCATCTGCCGTCGATATACACATGCTTATAGACGCCCCCATCCAGCAAGAACCGGCTCAGGTGCAACTGCTAAGCATGGAGACTTTGACTTCATCCCAAGGGCAAGACGAACTCAAGCAAAGCGTTGAAGAGCATCCCAAATCTGTTCTCGGCACCATCCCCAACACCTCCACACCACTCGCTGTTAACTCCATCCCCAAATCTAAGCGACCAGAATCTCCACCTCATGACGTCTTGGCTGTTTTGTCTTCTGCAGTTGAGGACGCTTCGTTGATCATCCATCCTGTTCCCACAGGACTTCCTTCGATTCTAGACTCGGTCGTTCCTCCTGCTGCTGTAGGATCTCCATTGGAAGTTGGTAATGAAGTAGACTCTATAGAGTCCAAGCGACCAGAATCTCCACCTGATGACGTCCTAGCTGTTTTGTCTTCTCCAATTGAGGACACTTCGTTGACCATCCATCCGGTTCCTTCTGAACTTCCTTCGACTCTGGACACAGTCATTCCTGCAACAGTAGGATCTCCATTGGAAGTAAATAACGAAGAAGACTCTACTGATTCAGTTTCACCCCCTATAGACCTTCCCCTCTGCGCATTGACCCAGTCCAACAACCCATCATCAATTGGACAATCGCCAAATCTTTTAAATGACATCCCTCCCTCTTCCTCAATAGACTCCCACACTCATCCAGTGTCCGAAATCTTACCCCCTTCCCCAACTGAACTCTCAATGCTAGACCCGTCTAGTCAAATGAACGCAGCTCCACCCATAGATTCTGGCACCCCATTGTTACAGTTAGACGCTCCTCCTGAGCTGAACTCTATTGAATCTGCTCCACCTTCATTAAGTAATGGTAGTACTAGTCTCCTTGCAGCTCACGCCACAAGCACTGACTCTGACTCTGTTACAGAATCCGGCAACCCGCTCATGGTGAACTCCACCGTTTCCTCACCTATTGACTCAGGTTTACCTTCGGACGTTGATATACCGAATACTGCCAATGGGGGAACGTCTTCATGACGGAAACATTGTTGGTGCACAGGCATACTTGCTATTCCGACTGCGTGATATCAAAATTAAAGGGATTGTACACGCAAGAATTCAATTTCTCTCATTGATTACGCACTCGAATGTCATTCCAAACCTGAGATCTTCATTCATATTTGAATTGAATTGGGTTGAAGATGTTTTCAATCAGGGGTGCCCCTTCCCTGTTTCTAAAAACTGATTGAATGTTTCAGGACCCTTGCTGTCTTTGGAGGGTCGGAGAGCTCCAGGATTTCATCTAAAATGGCTTAATTTGCATTTCTAAAGACGAACCCAGATTTTATTGATTTGGATCAGCATGAGGGTGCATAATGAATGATAATTATTGTCATTTTTGTGTGAACTAACCCTTTAAAAGGGAATTGGGGGGGCTCACGTCAGTCATTATTAGTGGTATTTTTCGTTCCTGCAGCCATGACGCATTATGGCGAAGCAAGGAAAAGCTATGAAAGGATTCGACTGAAAGGGAACAACCATAAACAGGAGCGTCTGTGAACTCAAACAGCCTTCTTACTTACTGTGGTGCCAGTATCTGCTTCTTTTTTTGGGGGCAGCTAGATCTTAAAAATCATCAACGGTGGCGACTTCCCACTCGCGTTACTCTGGAAGTCTGTGTGATCTAGTGATTAGCTTGCTCAGATCTGCTTGTCTGATTAGTAATTAACAGCTAGATTGGTCAGATGTGATTGTTAATTTTCTCTGAATCCTGTGATCAAGTCTAAAAACGAAAACGACATCTGTGAAGTCAAGCGTCAAAGGGAATCTCTCTCTCTCTCTCTCGAAATAATAAACTGTACATTTTATTCTGGGAATGTTTGCCGATGTGTCTTGATGCCGCTATAAATTAGGTGTCAAATAAACACTTAATTTCTGTATTCATAATGTATGAAAAAAAGAAAAACCACAGAAAACATCGATATTCCTGTGAAGTACTACACAAGTGCTGCTCGAGCTGGTATTTGTGTGGTATGTTTTTTTAAGCTAATCACTAGATTCCTTAAGGAAAAAATGATAGTTTGAGGAATACAGATGATACTCTGTTGTTGTGTAACACTGTCTATGTGACCCACAATACCAACACAGGCTTATGGTGGATACGTACCCCTGTTTATATTTCTGGAGAACGCTAATTATGTAGTCAGAGGTACGTCTGGCTGCAGTTTGTCTTTAAAATGAACTCTACGGGGTATTATGACAATGCCAACAGCTTCGGTTCCTTTCTGCATTACTAGCTGACCAATTAATTCTGTACAGATGGCTATATCGATGTTACCAGTTTGCGCAGTGGCTCGCCTTGTATATCGGCAGACTTGAGTTGAAGGCGAAAACATGGTTCAAGTCTGGCAAAGAACGGTTCCAGAAACCAGGTAAACAAGTATTAAATAAACCACAGGCTCGGAAATGTGGTGAAATCACACAGCGACGACTGCTTTTCTTTTTCTAGATTGCGTTTGAAAACACTATTGGTTGGGTTTAGGGAAGGGGGTGGGGGGGGGGGGGTCAAACGGTTAGTTGACAGCAAGTTAGTCTGCTCGGCTGAGGTGTATACACCACACACCAGCTGATTGGTGGAGAGGAAACAGTGATGAAGCCAATTATGATAGGGGGATGATTTGGAGGCCATGATGGACAGAGGCCAGTAAATTTGGCCAGGATGCCGGGGTTAAACCCCTTTACTTTTTAGACGGACATCCTGGGATTTTTAACTATCACAGAAAGTCAGGACCTTTAACGTCTCATCTGAAAGACGGCGCTCACTGAGCAGAATAGTCTTCATCAATATACTGGGGTGTTAGGACCACATGTTGAGTGCCCCCTGTTGGTCTCACTAACACCACTTCCGACAGCAACCTAGCTTTCCCATATGGTCTCCCATTCAGGTACTGACCAGCCGCAGCCCTGCTTAGCTTCAGCGGGCGACCATGTGACACTTGCAGAAAGCTAGCTGGTAAATAAATAAACAACAGACTGGAAATGTGGTGGACGGTGACGTTTCTTTTTCTAGATTGCGTTTGAAAACACTATCGGTTGGGTTCAGGGAAGGGGGTGGGGGGGTCAAACGGTTAGTCGACAGCAAGCTGGTCTGGATTGGCTGAGGTGTATACACCAAACACCAGCTGATTGGTGGAGAGGAGACAGAGTGATGAAGCCAATTATGATATGGGGATGGTTATGAGGCCATGATGGACAGAGGCCAGTAAATTTGGCCAGGATGCCGGGGTTAAACCTCTTTACTTTTTAGAAGGACATCCTGGGATTTTTAACAACCACAGAGAGTCGGGACCTTTAACGTCTCATCTGAAAGATGGCGCTCACTGAGCAGTATAGAGTCTTCATCAATATACTGGGGCGTTAGGACCCACACAGACCACAGGTTGAGCGCCCCCTACTGGCCTCACTTAAACCACTTCCGACAGCAACCTAGCTTTCCCATATGGTCTCCCATTCAGGTACTGACCAGCCGCAGCCCTGCTTAGCTTCAGCGGGCGACCATGTGAGAGTTGCAGAGAGCTAGCTGGTAAATAAATAAACAACAGACTGGAAATGTGGTGGACGGTGGCGTTTCTTTTTCTAGATTGCGTTTGAAAACACTATCGGTTGGGTTCAGGGAAGGGGGTGGGGGGGTCAAACGGTTAGTCGACAGCAAGTTGGTCTGGTCGGCTGAGGTGTATACACCAAACACCAGCTGATTGGTGGAGAAGAGACAGAGCGAGGAAGCCAATTCTGATATGGGGATGTTTATGAGGCCATGATGGACAGAGGCCAGTAAATTTGGCCAGGATGCCGGGGTTAAACCCCTACTCTTTTTAGAAGGACATCCTTGGATTTTTAACAATCACAGAAAGTCAGGACCTTTAATGTCTCATCTGAAAGACGCCGCTCACTGAGCAGTATAGAGCCTCTATCAATACACTGGGGTGTTAGGACCCACACAGACCACAGGTTGAGCGCCCCCTGCTGGCCTCACTAACACCACCCTAGCTTTCCCATGTGGTCTCCCATTCAGGTACTGACCAGGCGCAGCCCTGCTTAGCTTCAGTGGGCGACCATGTGAGAGTTGAAGAGAGCTAGCTGGTAAATAAACAAACAACAGACTGGAAATGTGAAATCATGCAGCACCTTTTCTTTTTCTAGACTGGTTTTGAAAACACTATGGGTTGGGTTTAGGGAATGGGGTGGATGGGTCAGTCAGTCAACAGCAAGCTGGCCTGGTTGGCTGAAGTGTATATTGCGCCCTCTGGTGGATTTACGTGAGAAGAGGAGGCTAAAAGAAATATTTGAGATCATCAAAAAGCGACAGCAGCCTCTGGTGGATTTACTAAAACAAAAACTGCGAGCGGATGTACCTTTGGTTTCGTATTTCACTGCCCCCAGAAATGTAGACCTGGGTACATATCCGTAATGAGTGTGGGTTGCACCATTCAATGCAACAGGACTTCTTGTGAATGTGAAAACTTTTGTAATTTATGAATTGTGGTACTGATGTACAGTGGTACTGACTGTTTCACTTCAAAAATAGAAACAATTTTAGCTTTTTCTCTATCGATGAGTGTGCGGCCATTGGTATTTCATTACCAAGTCTGTGTGAATGTATAGTGTGGCAATTTATTGTTCATGATGACGACAAAAAGAAAACAAAAAAGCATGTGAACCTCTATAATGAAACTTTGGATGAACGACTTTAAAGTGACGAGAACAAAAGATGAATTAGAGGAATGAGTGCAGCCGTCATCCTTTCATTTGTGGATGAAAGCAATAACAGATTTACTGTCCGCCATCCATGCTTCAAACATTTCAGAATTCTTTTGTTTGTAATATGAAACTACTAATTTTGTAATGTCTAAAGAAAAAAAAAATGTCCCCTAAAATCTGAGATGAAGTGTGTGTATGTGTGTGCTTCAGCAACACTATGAACCAGGCTGAATACTGGAAGAGTATTTCAATATGAAATATGGGAAAATGTGACCACTTGCACAAAAAAAGAGGATTTTTCCAGCGATTGTGGGATATTCTTAATCATTCCAGCTGTAATGTTTAGTTTATTTGCAATATCTTCAATAAAAAGAAAAGTATTATTGCCCTGGAGTATTTCAAACGTCTCTGTTCTTAAATGATCTGCTTTTTATTTTGTGGATGTTTTCTCAAATGCATCATAGTCTGGTGAGGACATTATCTTGAGTTTCTCTCTCTGTTTATTCATTATATCATGATGTCTGATGACATTCTCAAAAGTGATCTATACACAGAAAGTGAGCAATTAAAGTGTCTAAACAAGTTTGTGATTGTTTCATGTTACATTTATTTATGAAACAAAACACCTATTCTGAGCTGTACTTAATGAAATGTAAAATAATCAGTGATCATACTAAAGATTATTACATTTAAATGATTACAAAAAAATGTCTTGCTGACCTGCAAAAATTTACTGTAAAATATTCTAAAATGTTTGGATCTGTTGATCTACATTCAGTTTTTATTTTACAATAAGACATTTTTTATTAAATATATTTGGAACACGCAAATAAATATATATATATATATATTTATTTATTTATTTGCGTGTTCCAAATATATATATACACACACATACTGTATATATATACACACACACACACACACATATATATATATATATATATATATATATATATATATATATATATATATATATATACACACATATAAATATATATATTAATTTATATATTATTTCATATTAATTTGTTTATAACTTACTTTTGAACCTGGTTTCTATTTTGTGCTAGAAAAGCATGCAAATTAGTTTTTTTTTTTTTTTTTACAGATTAAACGTCTCATTTGAATATTTAAACAATTTAATAAACAATACTTTTTTTTTTTCTTTTTACGTTTTTAATGTTAATTAATAAACTGAGTATGGTGAATAAATATTAGTCTATTCTCTTCACACTACCTGTGTATTTTGCTTTAAGCAGATAAAATGTAGTTACTATCACCGACTAATATTCATGTTCGCAACACATAATCCTTCATATTTCTCTTTATTTCTGGCTCTGAGTGTCTGGAGATTCAGTTTTAAAGTCTCGCCGCCCTCTGCAGGAAACATTTGGGAGTAAAAGTTACGCACATTCGCATCCTGCGCAAAAACCAAACATCAAAAACCAGGATTACAACACGTTTATGAATCTAATAACTCAATATAATGTGACGGCGGCGCGCGCTTTACAGCCGCTCTCTCGTTGAATCAGCATTAGTGACGGAGATGCTGCAGCACACACACACACACACACACACTCTCTCTCTCTCTCTCTCCACTGCATCACCGCGGCGCATCCTGATTGGCTGACGGAGGTTTTCTGACGAAGCAGCAGATCCGCATCCACCGCAGAAACACACCGCACATCCACACACACACTCTTTCACTCACACACACACACCGCCGACAGACAGACAACATGAGGGAGATCGTGCACATCCAGGCCGGACAGTGCGGCAACCAGATTGGTGCCAAGGTGAGATTTTACACATTTGTTATAGTGTTTAGTAAGCGAGAAAACAGCAAAATCCACTTCTAATGTAGAATAATTAAAGTAAGAGTGTAGTGACTTTGCTGTAAGATGCAGGGCAAGCATGAAGGTGAGTGTGTTTTGTGTGTGTGTGTGTGTGAGAGAGAGAGAGAGAGAGAGATTGGGTGTGGTGAAGGTCTGCAGTGCCTCATTCAGAAGACAAAAATGATGGATGAGTTTAATAATTTGTAAATAAATGAAGATCTTGTTGACAAATATGCAAATGTCTTAGAAGAAACTACTCAAATTTGCATAGTTAAGTGTAACACTGCAAGCAAGTATAAAAAAATGCTTATTCATGCATGCTAATTTTTAGATTTTGGGCCTTTTGGCTTTTCCTAAAAGGTTTTCTCAGATGTATAAAATGTTATACATCTGAAAGCGGAATTTTTATATTGTGTTTGCAAAATATTTGATAATCAATAAATATATGTGATATCCCCTGGCTGGTGGTAAATAGATGTTTATAATATGCCTTTAAGATGTTTAAAGTTTTAATATCTCCTCACTGATGTTATATAGATGTTTACAATTTGTCTTTCAGATGTTTAAAGTTTTAATATCTCCTGGCTGATGTCAAATAGACGTTTTTTTAATGTCTTTTAGATGTTTAAAGTTTTAAGATCTCCTCCCTGACGTTAAATATATATCTATAATACATCTTTTAGATGTCTAAAGTTTTAATATTTCCTAACTGATGTTATATAGATGTTTATAATATGTCTTTTAGATGTTTAAAGTTTTATTATCTCCTAACTGATGTTATATAGATGTTTATAATATGTCTTTTAGATGTTTAAAGTTTTAATATCTCCTAACTGATGTTATATAGATGTTTATAATATGTCTTTTAGATGTTTAAAGTTTTAATATCTCCTAACTGATGTTATATAGATGTTTATAATATGCCTTTAAGATGTTTAAAGTTTTATTATCTCCTCACTGATGTTATATAGATGTTTACAATTTGTCTTTCAGATGTTTAAAGTTTTAATATCTCCTGGCTGATGTCAAATAGACGTTTTTTTAATGTCTTTTAGATGTTTAAAGTTTTAAGATCTCCTCCCTGACGTTAAATATATATCTATAATACATCTTTTAGATGTCTAAAGTTTTAATATTTCCTAACTGATGTTATATAGATGTTTATAATATGTCTTTTAGATGTTTGAAGTTTTAATATCTCCTCACTGACGGTTTATAGATGTTTATAATATGCCTTTAAGATGTTTAAAGTTTTATTATCTCCTAACTGATGTTATATAGATGTTTATATGTCTTTTAGATGTTTAAAGTTTTAATATGTCCTGACTGATGTCAAATAGACGTTTTTTAATGGCTTTTAGATGTTTAAAGTTTTAATATCTCCTGACTGACGTTAAATAGATATTTAAAGTACATCTTTAAAATGTTTAAAGTTTTAATATCTCCAGACTTTTGTCAAAAAGATGTTTATAGTACGTCTTTAGGATGTTTGAAGTTAGTATCTTCTGACCGATGTTAAATAGATGTTTATAATACGTCTTTAAAATGTCTAAAGTTAATATCTTCTGACTGATGGTAAACAGATGTTTATAATACGTGTTTAATATATTAACAGTTTTAATATATACTGTCTTATGTCAGATAGATGTTCATTATTTGTCTTTAGGATATTTAAAGTTTTAATATCTCCTGACTGATGTCAAATAGACGTGTTTTAATGTCTTTAGGATGTTTAAAGTTATTATCTCCCAACTGATGTTAAATAGATGTTTTTATGTGCTTAAGATATTAACAGTTCTAATACCTCCTGACTAATGTCAAATAGATGTTTATAATACGTCTTTAAGATGTTTAAAGTTTCAAATGATCAATAAAAATACATTTTAAAGACGTTTTAAAGATGTTTTCCAGACCAAACACTTTTTAAAGTGCATCTTTAAATACATCTTAAATACATCTGGGACTTCACACCTCCTGTATCTATATACTCAACTCTTAAAATTAAAATTTATTTTAAATAGATAGTTCATGCTGAGATTTAAAAAAACAAAAATAGATTTACGCTTAAGTGATTCCAAGACTCAATGAATTTCCTTCTAGAGTTTATTTCTATTATTTTGAAAGAAAGCTGAACAGTTAACCTCCACAGAAAAAACAAGTACCATGGAAGTCAATGGTTACCGGTTTTCAGCATTTTTCAAAGTATCTTCTTTTGCGTTTAATGGAAGAAAGAAGCTTTTTGAAATGAGTAAAGAATGACAGAATTTTCACTTTTGGGGTGAACTATCCCTTTAAGATTTGACAGTGTTGATTCTGGGATGTCTAATCAGCTAAAATAGCATCGATAAAGCATTTGTTAGCATTAAACCTCTCCTCCGTTTCAGTTTTGGGAGGTGATCAGTGACGAGCACGGGATCGACCCCACCGGCAGTTATCAAGGAGACAGTGAACTGCAGCTGGAGAGGATCAATGTGTATTACAATGAAGCATCTGGTAAGAAATTAACATTTAGTCTTATTATTTGTTTCATGGTAGCTGGAGTCCAATCTGTCTGTGTTCATTAAGTATTTATACGCTGTGTGGTGCAGACTGTCATGTCTCCAGCCCTGCTCCTCTGAGAAAACGTCAATATCTGACCTCCATTTTGCAGATTGGTCACCAGATGTAATTACTAGCCACTTTGTCTAGTGTGTAACAGATCACAGTATTTACTTCCATTTCTGTGCTTCTAATTCAAGTGTGTTATATTAAATGTGACCTATTAGGGAGGAATCACTTTATAAGGGGTTTATACACAATTGTGTGGGGACAGTCTGTGAATATAAGCAGCTTCTAATGATATACAATGTGTTAATTCAATTGTTTATAATCAGACTCGATGAGAACAGTCTGCAGAAACACTTTGATTGACATTCTCCCTTCGTATGATGTCATCAGTGAGGGGAAAGCCCCGCCCACTAGTGATTATATCACTCTTTACTCTTGTTTTTAAATCTGCCACTATGCTGACACACATGCATTTGTAGCTCCGCCCTTTTTTTGAAAAGGGCGATCTCATTTACATTTAAAGCAGCAGTCGCCAAAACGCCACAATTAGATTCAAAGCCCATAAGAGATGCGGTTTTGAAGATGTATAAAACGTTAGCGCCTTTCACACAGTGCAACCGGTAAATATACAGACAATTTCCAGAACAACTTAAACAGTAAAATTAAAAAAGCGCCGTTCACACAGGCGAAGACGTTACGGATTTTTTCTGGAAAAGACCGTTCACACATCCATTCCAAAATACCGGTAAATTCTGGCATCATTAACCAGATATGTGCTTGTATCTGTAAACATGACAACATTACAAACTCTGTGCATGGATCAGTATTGCGAACAACTTCAATGTAAACATATAGAGAGAAACACTTTCGCGTGTCGAGATGTACTTGGTTTGTGTGTGCACGCGTCAGAACTTGAAGGTAAACAAACAACGGCTTATCATAAGCATCTCATCGATAATTATTGACACGGTTGGCATTAGGAAGGAACATATACACCTGATCGGACTAACATCCAGCAGCTAAATGGAATGGAAAAATGTTCAAAGGCTTTTATTTTCAAAAACCGCACGTTCTAGACGTGCACACGCTCTTTTTCCTAATAGTATCTGGTGCAGCCTTTATGATGCAAGCTGAGACTGCATCACTCGGCGATGCAATGTCAGACACAATGCACTCAAATGGAGCGAGTGATGTCACTGTGATGGGTGGGGTTAGGTGTGCCCATTAAAAAGCATTGGATGCAGCTCAAATTGCACTGCACCAGGTCTGCATCCAGACCCCTCTCCTTTTTCCAGCAATCTTCCTTCTGCGTTCACACAGCGCAGCATTCCGGCAAATTACCGCTAATGTTACAACTTCGGAAGATACACAGCAAATTTCTGGAGTTGAAAATTTAAGAGTTAGGCAAAAAAGTGTGAAAGAGTGACATTTTTGGAGTTTGTTTTTGAACTCAATTTTGCGTTATGGGATACTTCCTGCTGTGTTGTATTTTGGAGTTCATTTGCTGGCGTTCAGGAACTTCTTACTGGAGTTAAATTTTTTAGAAAGTTTGGTTTTACACAACTCTGCCGAGCAGCACAAAAGAACTGGAGTAATGTTCTCCGTTGTTTGAGCATCGTTATACAATTCTACAAGCTTTTTCAAAATGTTGTATATTTTGTGACAGAAATGCGTTTTGCTGTAGGTGTTTTGTTTTGTACTGTGACTTGCTGTTAGATTTAATGCTATTGTGACAATTAATTTCAAAGAGTGTCCATTGATGGAATTTCTAAATCTAATGTGTGGATTGCATAATTAAAAGCAGTAAGTAAAAAGTATTGCATCAGTTAATTATTTTCATATTTATATATATATATATATATATATATATATATATATATATATATATATATATATATATATATATATATATTGCTTGAAGTACATTTTAACTCTAAGGAGTGTAAAATTTTAACATTGGTAAGCAGTTCCTGTTATACCCAGATGTAAAATTACTCTCAGCAGGATTACAATTTTAACTCCAGAAAGTGTTAAAGTTTAACTCCAAAAGCAGAGTGATTTTAACTCTGAAGGGGAGTAAATTTGATGGTCACGCATGTACACTCAGATCGAGTTGATTTTAACTCTAAAGGAGTTTATTATAAAGACCAGAATTTAGCCAGAACAAATTTGCCGTTTTTTTTTTTCAAAAAGGGCCTGTTCACACATACAGACCTATCTGGAAAATTGCCGGTAATTTTCCAGAAATGTCTGTATGTGTGAAAGGGGCTCATATCTGTGAGGTATTTTGAGCTGAAACTTCTAGGGACGTCAGAGACTTATTTTGCAGCCTGTAAAAAGCGGTATAATAATAGGAAAAGTTCACCCAAAATTGAACAATAGACTCTGATTTCAAACTGAATGCCAAACAAACAATAAAGAGCAGGTCATATGGCATTTTGAAGGGTCGTAATATTTTGCTGGAGTCTCCTCAAACAGGTTGTAAACATTGTAATTGAATGCATTTAATTTTAGTATCATTTTGCAGTGACTTTAATAGACTTCACTAAAAAGAAAAGTGAGGCTTAAAGGGATAGTTCATCCCAAAATGTATATTATAGCATCATTTATGCTCTCTCAAATGGTTTTAATCATTAAATCTGATAAACACAGAAGAGGATAGTTTGAAGAATGCTGGTTGCTGGTACATTTGACATACAAATGACGTCGAAATTCTGTCAATTTTACTTTTCTTTTTCCAAATGATGTTGAACAGATTCAGGAATTCTTCACAGTATTTCCTATAATATTTCTTCTTCTGGAGAAAGTCTTATTTGTTTTATTTCGGCTTGAATAAAAGCAGTTCTTAATTGTTTTAAAGCCACTTTAAGGTCAAATTTATTAGCAATATTAATTTTGGATTGTCTCCAGAACAAACAACTGTTATACAATGACTTGCCTAATTACCCTAACTTTACCCTAATTACCCTAGTGAAGCCTTTAAATGTCACTTCAACCTGTATACTAGTGTCTTGGAGAATATCTAGTCTAATATTATGTGCTGTCATCATGGCAAAGAGAAAATAAATCAGTGATTAGAAATGAGTTATTAAAACGATTATGTTTACTATGGAAGTCAATGAGTGCAGCTACAAGCATTTTTCTAAGTATCTTCTTTTGTGTTCAGCAGCAGAGGTTTTAAACAAGCAAGCAAATGATGACACTTTAATTTTTGGGTGAACTACCCCTTTAATACAATAGATGATCGATATACAGGCAGGCCGTGTGTCTTCATTGTTCTGGAGAGAGCAAGTTGTGTGTAGCTGCTGTTGTTCTCTCTGGATGGGAAGATGGATGACGCGGCACTTACTCAGCATTTACTGTGCAGTCATGGATTTAAAGTGGTACATCTCCTGTTTTTCCTGGATGTTTATAACAAGTGTATTGTCTTTGACAGGAAATAAATTCGTCCCTCGTGCCATCCTGGTGGACCTGGAGCCTGGCACCATGGACTCGGTTCGCTCCGGCCCGTTCGGACAAATCTTCAGACCTGATAATTTTGTGTTTGGTATGTTCATGAATCCGACACACAACAACAGATTCAAGGTGTCAAGGAATTAAAAAGAAGTTTATTTACTCACCCTCAGAAAACTGAAGATGTTTCAAGTACATTAAGGTCATGAAATTACATGAAATCAAATATAATCTGTGCACTCAGCCACAGACTTCACTTTAATTAAATACCATAAGCCCCCTTCCCTGAAATGACACCTTTAGGGCGGAGCTTTCAGTCCTTTCATTTAGGGTGGGGCTATCTGTCATTTGGGGAGAGGCTATTGGTCAGGCACGTGCACACATAGGGCTCAACCTGTGCAGTGCACATGCCCTTTTTAGTCTTGGATAGAAAGTGCCCTTCCAAAATGATCAAAAGTGCCCCCGCGACGCGGCACACCCTCGGTCCCGCCCTTCAGTAGGCGCGCGACAACACCGCTCTTCAGAACGCGCGCAACAACAACCAACTCTTCCCCCCCCCCCCCGCTATTCAGAACGCGCGCAACAATTGGTCATTTAGGGTGGGGCTATGTCATTTGGGGAGGGGCTATTGGTAATTTAGGGTGGGGCTATCTGTCATTTGGGGAGGGGCTATTAGTCATTTAGGGTGGGGCTATGTCATTTGGGGAGGGGCTATTAGTCATTTAGGGTGGGGCTATCTGTGATTTGGGGAGGGGCTATTGGTCATTTAGGGTGGGGCTATCTGTCATTTGGGGATGGGGCTATTAGTCATTTAGGGTGGGGCTATCTGTGATTTGGGGAGGGGCTATTGGTCATTTAGGGTGGGGCTATCTGTCATTCGGAGATGGGGCTATTGGTCATTTAGGGTGGGGCTATCTGTCATTCGGGGAGGGGCTATTGGTCATTTAGGGTGGGGCTATCTGTCATTTGGGGAGGGGCTATTTGGTCATTTAGGGTGGGGCTATCTGTCATTTGGGGAGGGGCTATTGGTCGTTTAGGGTGGGGCTATCTGTCATTTGGGGAGGGGCTATTGGTCATTTAGGGTGGGGCTATCTGTCATTCGGGGATGGAGTTATTTGTCATTTAGGAAGGGTTTATTTGTCATTTAAGGAGAGGCTACTGGTCATTTAGGGAGGGGCTATCAGTCATGGTAATTTAGGGAGGGGGCTATCAGTCCTTTAGGGAGGGTCTATCGGTCATTTAGGGAAGGGCTATCAGTAATTTAGGGCTAGAGTATCAAACATTTAGAGAGGGGCTATCAGTCATTGGGGAGGCTATTAGTCCTTTAGGCAGGGGCTATCAGTCATTTAGGGTTTTAGTCAAGTCATTTGTGGAGAGGCTACTGGGGGTAGGGGGGTTGCGGCAATCGGTCATTTAGGGAGGGGCTATGGGTGATTCGTCTATCGGTCATTTGGGGAGGGGCAATTGATCATTAAGTGTGTGGGGGGGGGGGGAGTATCCTTTAGGCAAGGGCTATCAGTCATTTAGGGAGGGATTTTGAGTCATGTCATTTGGACAGAGGCTATCAGACATTTAGGGAGGGGCTATCAGTCATTTAGGGAGGGGTTATTGTGTATTTAGGGAGGGGCAATAAATATTGAAACTGGTTTGAAACTTGAAACCGGTCATCATCCATATCATATCATTCTATCCCATCAGTCAGTAGGAATGTTTCCATCATAAGATGCTAATTAAGTTTATGCGCAAAACTGGAATAATGCATAAAACATTTGTGAACACAGCAGTGTTTCCATCCAATGAGTCCAAGAAAACAAAAATAGTCACTCCATGATAAACTGATGCCGAATATCAAAAGAAAAATGGAAGTTCCTGCATTAGGAGAAGGCCTTTTTTGTATATAATAACTCAAATGCATCTTAGAACAGGCAGACGCGTCATATCAAAGTCGTATTATTTTAGTATAATCTCCGCTCGCATATAACATTTAAACATGTTGGGACCACATCATCCACTCAAACACACCTGATACTTCCCACTATTTTGGCTATCACATGATCTGTTGAGGCAAAATCACAAGACTTGTGTGATCCGCATGCTGGAATTTGTGTTTCCATCATAGCTGAAGCAGATTTTTTAAGATAAGAAGTTCATACTCATTTTTTATATGCTTTCAATGTATGCACATCTTGGCATTTTAATGTGATATTCCAAAATGCGCATAAAAACAGGTGGATGGAAACGCAGCTAGTGCTGTATGTTTTAAACCAAGCTGTCTTTAAACTGGGACACATTGCCTTTTTTTTAGGTCAGAGCGGAGCTGGAAACAACTGGGCTAAAGGCCACTACACGGAGGGCGCAGAGCTAGTGGACTCAGTCCTGGATGTAGTAAGGAAAGAGTCCGAAAACTGCGACTGTCTGCAGGGCTTCCAGCTCACACACTCTCTCGGCGGAGGCACTGGATCCGGTATGGGAACACTGCTAATCAGCAAAATCCGTGAAGAGTATCCCGACCGCATCATGAACACCTTCAGCGTCATGCCTTCCCCAAAAGTGTCCGACACTGTAGTAGAGCCCTACAACGCTACGCTCTCAGTGCACCAGCTAGTGGAAAACACCGACGAGACCTTCAGCATTGATAACGAAGCGCTCTACGATATTTGCTTTCGCACACTTAAACTCACCACGCCAACTTACGGTGATCTGAACCATCTGGTTTCCGCGACTATGAGTGGAGTGACCACATGTCTGCGCTTCCCAGGTCAACTAAACGCAGATCTCCGCAAGCTAGCAGTCAACATGGTGCCCTTCCCTCGCCTTCACTTCTTCATGCCGGGATTTGCACCGCTAACAAGTCGCGGCAGCCAGCAATACCGTGCGCTATCTGTTCCAGAGCTAACACAACAGATGTTCGATGCTAAAAACATGATGGCCGCCTGTGATCCGCGCCATGGGCGCTACCTGACAGTGGCCGCCATCTTCCGTGGCCGCATGTCTATGAAAGAAGTGGACGAGCAGATGCTCAGCGTCCAGAACAAGAACAGCAGCTATTTTGTAGAGTGGATCCCGAATAACGTCAAGACCGCAGTCTGCGACATCCCTCCGCGTGGCTTGAAAATGTCCGCAACATTCATCGGCAACAGCACAGCCATCCAGGAGCTCTTCCGCAGGATTTCCGAGCAGTTCACCGCTATGTTCAGACGCAAGGCTTTCCTGCACTGGTACACTGGCGAGGGGATGGACGAGATGGAGTTCACCGAGGCGGAAAGCAATATGAATGATCTGGTCTCCGAGTATCAGCAGTACCAAGACGCAACCGCTGATGAAATGGGCGAATACGAGGAAGACGATCTTGAAGATGAGGAAGACGTCCGCCATTAGGAGAGCTCAGTGATCTGCTGATAAGCCATGTAGTTTTCATTGCTTCTAGAATGATCTGAGTTGCCATAGCAATGCAAACAGTGCTGCTTCATCATAGTTCAAAAGGTGCTACTGTGTTAATCGATTTTAAGGAAAGATGCAATCTTGTGGAACAAACAAGGTACAGTTATGATATGTTTTGTAACATATGCTTCACACTGCAGATGCCATGTAAAATAAAAAAGATCTCACTAATAGAAATGACTTCGTCTCCTGTCAAAAGTTGCTCAAACGTACAGATATATTTGTATATTCACATGTACATCAGTATCCACAGCCTTTGCTCAACACTATGTTGATGCACCTTTGGCAGCGATTACAGCCTCAAGTCTTCTTGAATATGATGCCACAAGCTTGGCACAGCTGTCTTTGGGAATTTTGGCCCGTTCCTCTTTGCAGTGCCTCTCCAGCACTATCAGGTTAGATGGGAAGCAACGGTGTACAGCCATTTTCAGATCTCTCCAGAGATGTTCAATAGGATTTAGGTCTGGGCTTTGGGTGGGCCACTCACAGACATTCACAGAGTCATTGTGAAGCCACTCCATTGATATTTTGGTGGTGTGCTTTGGGTCATTGTCCTGCTGGAAGAAGACCCCAGTCTGAGGTCAAGAGCACTCTGCAGCAGGTCTTCATTCGGGATGTCTCTGTACATTGCTGCATTCATCTTTCCCTCTATCCTGACTAGTCTTCCAGTTCCTGCTGCTGAAACACATCCCCACAGCATGATGCCAACACCACCATGCTTCACTGTAGGGATGCTGTTAGCCTGATAATGAGTGCTGCCTGGTTTTCTCCAAATGTAACGCCTGGCATTTACTCCAAAGAGTTCAGTTTGAGTCTCATCAGGGCAGAGAGTTTAGTTTTTTATGGTCTGAGAGTCCTTCAGATGCCTTTTGACAAATTCCAGGTGGGGAGTGTCTTCCGTCTGGCCACTCTACCATACAGGCCTGACTGGTGGATTGCTGCACAGATGGTTGTCCTTCTGCAAGGTTCTCCTCTCTCCACAGATGAATGCTGGAGCTCAGACAGAGTGACCATCAGGTTATTGATCACCTCTCTGACTAAGTCCCTTCTCCCCCGATCACTCAGCTTAGTGATAACAAGTATTTTAATATAACGTTTTTAAAACTAGGATGATGGTTCAATATGAATAGAACAGATCCAAGAACTGTCCATCCCAGTCAAAACAGTCGAAGTTTAGCTGGTCTCATGCTGTCATTAGCCAAAATATCTTGACAAACCACACATAAAGGTCGAGGTTCATCAGCTGGTCCTGTCCACGTAAATCCTAAACTCAAATACTGATCATCATATTGTCGTCTTTTGGGTTTAAGCCCTGAACTTGAAGGCTTTGAATCAGGGGGGGTCTCAGAAACCGATCCATTGTATTAGCAGGCATATACCAGTATTGGCGGGCTTGCCAAACAGAAGCGAATTCACAGCTATGGCCTTCTGGGTAAAAAAGGTTTTCTTATTTTTGACGTAGTATTTTTTTTTAGCTTTGTTTAATTAAAAGGTGTAAATATAATAAAAATACGTATAATAATTAAACTTAATAATTATATTTTTATTATATTATATTTTTTCCCGCGCCTCCCCTGACATGCTCTGGCGCCCCCCAGGGGAGGCGCGCCTCACACTTTGAAAACCCCTGGTTTGGAGCAAAGGCTGTGAATACCGATGTACATCTCATTTTTCAGCTTTATTATTTTTAATAAATTTGCAACAATTTCAGAAAATCTTTTTTCACATTGTCATTATGGGGGATTGTGTGTAGAATGTTGAGGAAATAAATGAATTTAATCCATTATGGAATAAGGCTTTAACAAACAAATGTGGAAAAAGTGCTATCAATACTTTTTTTGCACAAATAAAAAAATTTGACAATTGCTTGTTTTTTTTTGTAGAAAAGGTCAAAATCACAGCAAGCAAATCGAGAAACACAAATTTACAAAATATAAGTGCAATATTTTCAGTTTCAAGCTTATTTTTTAGAAACACAAAACAAGCTCTTTATTTATTCATATGTTCATTTATTTTCCAAATCTTACAAACTTTATTGCATTGATTTAAAGACATCAGTCTTCAAATATGTAAACATCCTAAAAGCATCTTAAGTTCTACCAAAGACATTCTTGATTTCTCAATATAAATATTAAACATTCGAGTGAAAAACGTGAATGGCAATCTATACTCAAATCTTGCATCAAGAAATAAGCAATCAACACATATATAGTGGTACCTCAGTGATAAAAGTACAAAACTTTCAGCAGCCTAAGTGTGAAACCTAACCCAACCATATAAATGGCAAATCATTAAACATCATTAGTATTTAAAAGCTACAATCAATGTTGCGTCTTTAAAAAAAAGTGCTTAATGGATTAATGTAGCATTCACAGCCCACACACTCTTGCGGTCAAGTTTTCATCATGACTATTACACAACACACATTGGCCACTTTACATATTTATTATTGAGAGATTAATTAAAATGATTGTCAGCGGGATCAATTTGATCCATCTGCTTGATTCGGCTCTAAATCCGCAAAGGGACGACAGCAAATGAGAGACAGAGGAAAAGAGCAGCTGATTGTATTGTGATGAATGGAAGACTCAGTAATGATACCATCACAAACGGAGTGTGTCTTCTGTAGTGTGTGTTTGTGTGTGTGTGTAATAACACTGGCGTACCATCAGACAGAGCCGTTTTCATCCCTGACCAGGGAGATCACGCTGCAGTCGCTGGAGGAATTACGCAAACGCGACCTGCTCAACATCTCAGCACTCTGACATTTCCCCTGACCTCTAGGAGTGGAGATAGAGAGAGAGAGAGAGAGAGAGAGAGAGAGAGAGAGAGAGAGAGAGAGAGAGAGAGAGAGAGAGAGAGAAAAAAAAAAGAGAGAGAGGGAGACTTTCATTCATTCATTCATTTTCTTGTCAGATTAGTCCCTTTATTAATCCGGGGTCGCCACAGCAGAATGAACCGCCAACCTATCCAGCAAGTTTTTACGCAGCGGATGCCCTTCCAGCCCCAACCCATCTCTGAGAAGAGAGAGACTTTGACACACTTTATTAAAACTTTTAAAACCAAAGCTTACATCAAATCTCACACAAAGTCACATTGAGCAATGTTCAGGAGGAGGCAAAAACAAATAAATCATTAATTGAAAATAATAATAATAATAATAATAATAATAATAATAATACTTAAACATACAATTAAACATTATTCACGCAATTTAGCTGATGGTATCACCACAACATCCCAAATTAATCTACTAATGCACAAAATTACTAATAAAAGTCTTTGGCCACCATTAATGTGGCCATATTAGTAGAATTATTTATATTTATTTATACTTTAGTATAACTTCCTGTCGGACATTTCACACTGGATGAAAGATCATCATCTTCAGCTGAACCTCCCAAAAACGGAAATGCTTGAAGTTTCTGCCAACCCGACTCGGCATCACAACTTTTCAATCCAGATGGATGGGGCAACCATTACTGCATCCAAAATGGTGAAAAGCCTTGAAGTAACGATTGATGACCAACTAAACTTCTCTGACCACATTGCTAGAACTGCTCGATCTTGCAGATTCACTCTCTATAACATCAGAAAGGTCCGACCCTTCCTATCTGAACATGCAGCTCAACTCCTTGTTCAAGCTCTTGTTCTCTCCAGACTGGACTATTGCGACTCTCTACTAGCCGGGCTTCCAGCAAACTCTATCAAACCTCTTCAGCTGCTCCAGAACGCAGCAGCACGAGTGGTCTTTAATGAAGCTAAAAGAGCACATGTCACTCCGCTGCTCATCCGTTTGCACTGGCTGCCAGTTGCTGCTCGCTTCAAATTCAAAACTCTGATGTTTGCCTACAAAGCGACTTCTGGCTTTGCTCCTTCTTATCCGCTCTCACTTCTGCAGATGTATGTGCCCTCCAGAAACTTGCGTTCTGTGAATGAACGTCGCCTCGTGGCTCCATCCCAAAGAGGGAAGAAATCACTTTCCCGAACTCTCGCATTCAATCTGCCCAGTTGGTGGAATGAACTCCCTAACTGCATCAGAACGGCAGAGTCACTCGCTGTCTTCAAGAAACCACTAAAAACTCAACTACTGAGTCTCCACTTCCCTTCCTAATCTGCAATTCCCTCTCTGGCTCCACCGTTAACTGTACTTCAAAAAAACAAAAACAAAAAATAAATAAATTACTAATGCTTAGCTTCTTACACTTTACACACCTGAAACTTGCCTATACCACTTATTCATTGTTGCTCTTGTAGTTGTGTAAATTGCTTCCTTGTCCTCATTCGTAAGTTGCTTTGGATAAAAGCGTCTGCTAAACGACTAAATGTGAGTGTAATGATATTCGCTCTTCACCTGTACAGTACTGATATTTATATTAATTATGATAATCATTGATAAAAACAGCTCAAACATTCATGAAATGGCCTCTACAGACTGCAGACCTTAATATAGTATTATAGAGGCAGTATAGGATTGCCTGGACAGGGGGGGGTGGGGAACAGAAACTGATTGGAGTACCTGCTCTCTGGAATGAGGTTTAGTGTGCGGTAGAGGTCAGCAGTGGTGGGCATCTTCACCGGCGCAGCTTTAGGAGTGCAGAACACGGAGTTGGACAGAGACTTAGTGAACAGCGGAGGAGTCAAATGCAGTTTGGCCTCTGGTTCTGTGCCTAAAAAAAAAAAAAAATTCTATGAAAATTCTGTCACTATTTATCAACTCTTTACTTGGTGCTTAGCAGTTTGAGGGTGGTTTCACACCTAGACTTTTGTTTCGGAACCTGTTAGCACGGTTAGTTTGGCATATGTGAAACCACCAATCGCACTCGGATCCGCACCAAAACAATCGCTCTGAGATCGCTTGAATGAGGTGGTCTCAGCTCGATTGAAACAATCTCTGGAGCGGATCGATTGTAGTGAGAAAGCAATATCCGAGCCCGGTTATATCACAGTGTTTTATGGATATGTAAAAGGCATACGGCTAAATGAAGAGAGAATTATGAGTAGTGCGAGACGTCATTCCAGACATCCCAAGTCTCCTGGAAGTTTCAAGAGTTTCCCCCAAATGCACAGAGACTCCCGGATGCCCACAAACGAGTGAGAATCTTCGGAAATCATGCGTCTCCCTCACAGTCCTTAAATACGTTGCGCACTCTTCTCACCCCTCCCCACCGCA